GGAAAATAATTGTTACTTGATTTTTTCCATCCATGTCTGATCCCTAAATAAGTATTATAAAGCTCCCAAGAGAAAATATAACAGCCAACAGTGTTCTAATTTTAGCAGCATAATGAAATCATGCTCTTACCAGATACTACACCCAGCAAAATGAGGAGAAGGAGTACACACTTCATCATCTTTAAGACCCTGTTCTTCATGTTCCCAGGATGCAAACTGAAGGAAGACCATGGTATGTTTTCCCTAGTTTACATCAGCTCCACCTAAATTCTTCCTCTTTGTCACATTGTGGAGTGAGAAATAAACAAAGGACTCATGTCTCTAAGGGAGTTTCTAAACATGGTCAGCTTGTTTCCTTGTCAAAGAACTGCTCCTGCTGACACTCCATCCACAGACCTGGGCCACACTTGAGAAAATCATCGTTAATAGTTCTTTCACTGCAATCATCTTCTTTATTGAAGCATTATTGTAAGATTCTAGTAAGTTCTAAGCCTGGAAATACTGCAGGGCTTTCATGGCACTGGCAGATGAGGTGCTCTCTTCACATATCAGGATCAAATATGCTTTTTTTTCTTACTTAAACCCAGATCCTGAAATTTTCTCACTTCTCTGGGTATTGGAGAATTACTGAGACCACACACACTGCGTCCCTGGAGTTAAGATTGCAGAATATGTACAAGGTGAAATTAGCTTTGCTGAAGTTGTCTCAGGAACTGCATGGACCATTATGCAAAGTGCACTGGCTCCCTTAGATGAGGCATTTAGCAATCTAGCCCATAATACACCCATGCAACTTTTGGGTTTTTTAATCTAAGGGCAGTTCAGCATTTTTTTCATGGAGTGTAGTATCGAGATGGCACTAATTCTAGAACTAGAAGAAACATAGGTGCATCAGCATCCACTCCTAGAATAATTTTGGTTGGAAGGGACCTCTGGAGGTCACCTAGGCAAACACTCTGCTCAAAATAAGCTTAAATAGATGGGGTTGCTCAGGGGTTCATCTAGTAGATTCTTGAGCACCTCCACACAAACTTAACAGGTCTGCTAAGAGGTAGAATTTAGACATTCAGGTTTAACACAGCTCTGGAGTTTTGTGAGCTAAGCTAGAAGCTCTAGATGGGTCTGCACGACACTGTGGCTGACCCGGTGAAAACTGGCAGTAGTTCAGAAAGCTCTGTCCTTTGCTCCTGTGTTTTGTGTAGTATGAACATGTTAACTGGACATGCTGGACATGAACATGTGGTTTAACCGTGCAGTGGGTGTTGCCTATTCTTGCTGCTTGCACACTTCAAACTACTGCAGTGCTGTGCCCTGGAGGATTCTGCTGATAAAATGAAACTGGAAAAGACGCATCAATAAAACCTATTGATTGGAACTGAGCCATACCCACATATCTGGTAATGGTTTTGGGAATCATAAGAAACATTAATTTGTTAGTTGATCTGCATGTGATTTAAAGTTCTTCTAGGGCCTTGCCAAGTCCAGTTGCAGCTTGGGTTCAAAGTGACCGAGGCCACAATGTATCATCTCTGATGGTGGTCACAGTGTTATCACCTGGGAGAATACACTGCATCGACCTGTAGCACCAAGGCAGCTAATCTTCCATTGCCCCAAGCAATGTGTGCCTAGAGTTTATGTTAGTAAACAAAATATAAGGAAAATGTCACCCTCAGATGCCCTAGTTATGCTGATAAGATATTAATGTAAATGTATTTATAATGGCCAGAAGCCTAGCCTGTCCCTTAACCTACCAGATCATTGCCCACTCCTTCATATGCATTTCCTGTGTCCATAAAGAAGCTTTTGATCTGGACATCTCACAAAGAAGAGGTCTGAGTGCATGAGCCAGGCTTGTACAATAAGCTTGTGATCTTTTACTAATTATCAGGACACTGTAAAACTGCTGCTAGTTTTATCCCTTCTTTTTAGTTGTAATGTGTAATCTATCCTATTACACTGTTGTTTCTTTTAATCTTGAAAGAACTATAGAAACATCTGGGCTAAGTTTTAAACTAACCAGTCTTTCAGACAGATGTTTAAATTTGTTTAATATCTAGCTGGAGTGATAGAAGTATTTTCAGCCTACGTTCTAAATAGCTAAGCCTTTACCAGAGCTAAGAGGTAAAAAAATTTTGCCCTTTATTGTCTTTCTCTCACTCCTTAGCCTGGGCTTCTGGAGGCTGGGTTGAGGGTTTTTCCTACAAATACATATTTCAACGTTTTTGTTTTGTCCTTCACCTGAGAATCTACACAGATCTGTTTTCATCAAGAGTTCAGTGTCCATATACATAATTCAGACTTTTCTCTGCCCATCTTGTGATGAACACGCTATAGAGGGATATGGGAGCCATGAATGGCAAAGGCATCTGCAATACACATGTGCTTGAAATGCCAGCCTTTCCCCAGCTTCACCTGGAGATCAAGAGGTAAATATTTCAGGTGTTCTGTGAATATCCATGGAGCAGTTATTTTCTGTTTTCTCTCTGAAATATGTTTGCAGGGCTTCCAAGTAGTTTTCAATAAGCCTCATGGTTCAAGCATGAAAAGAGATCACAAAGGTGATCAAGGAGATAGGAGAAGAGCCAAGTGTAGCACACAGTGAGGGAGGAGGTGGAGAGAGCAGCTTACATGGGTGGATGTATGAGCAGAAAGAGCTCTGGCTCCTTCTTCCTTCAGCAACTGCCAGTATCTCTCAGTACTTCCCTTAGATCCTTCTTTCCTTATATCCCTCTGCTAAGTGAATTTCTGTGGTTCTCTCATTCACCCTGCCAGGTTGTGAGGAATAAGGTAAAAAAGCAGCCAGAGTGAAAAGACAGCCCCAAACAGATTGAAAATCAAGTCAAAATAAATGCATACATATCATCAAATATACAGCTGGTAAGGAAGAGAGAATTTACAATATAGTTGATCAAGGCAGAATTTCCCCAGCAAGACTGGCAAGAGTAGCTCTGCTGCTGCAGGAAGGTCAGGAATGAGATTCCTGGGAACATAAAGCAGCTAGATGAAAAGAGGTCAAGGCAATGCAAGCAAGAATGCAACCAGGGAGCTTGCAGACAAAATAGAAGGGAGAAAAACTAATTGGAGCAAATGAAAAGGCCAAGAAACAAACTGGGGGTTTAATCATTCCTCGGTTTTCAATAAAATTTGAAATCTGGGGATTTTAGAGTAGTGCAGAAAAAATGCACTTCTGAAAAAAAATGTCTTCTGGATTATTAGGTAAAGTGGAGAATGTGAGGAAGATGCTACATCTTTCAAGAAATCAAAGAATCTTAGTTTCAGGGGAAAGTTCAACATATTGGAGTGTGAATTACTGCACTGCTCTTAGGTTGGGATGCAGAGAGAAAGACCATTGGAGGTGAGGGACAGTGGGTGGGACAGAGCAGAACTTGATGTGCAAGTTTTCAATCGTCTGTCCTCATGAAAGTGAGGCATTTCAACAGAGGTCAACTGGAAAGAAGTAGTCTACTTGCATAACAAAATGTGCAGGTTCAGGACATTAAACTTTTTTCTATGCATTTAATTCTCAGTTGACTTCCAGCCTGTCAACGGGAAAGAAATGTTCTCTCACTTTCAAATGCATCAGAGTTTCAAGGCATAATTTTCCCATTAATGGCAATTTCAGCCAGAGTAGTGACTCTCTTCTGCTTAGCCAACTCACAGAAAGGGATACCTTTTGCTCTTACTGTGGTAGTTACTCACCAAAAATTGAGCCACCTAAGGACAAATTTCCAACCTCAGTTCAAGACTATTTGTCATTTTTATTTCATTAATTAAATTACCTAGACTGTAATTTAAAAAATATTTTCATCTCCTATCCCTTTAAACAGTACAGCTTCTTCATCCACTGCCTTGGTAACCTTTCCTAAAATATTAAACTGGTACCTTAGCATCCTACACCAAAAACTTATGCACCATTTCATTTGATTTCTCAGCTAAAAGCTTCCTCTACCATTTGTGAGTGACAAGAGTAAACTAAAAGTCATGAGAGCTGCCCAGGCTACCTTAATCTCACTTAAAGCAATGCCAGCTCAGCAGGGTTACTCACATATGCAGTTATGGAGAAGAGTCCCAGGCAGATATCTGGGCCATCTATTTTCTAGGATTGACTTGTAGACACATAAGCCCACTAGTCACTTCCTTAAGAAATAACTTGAGATGCCTGCTAATAAGAAGTTACTCCATCTCATCAAGAGCTTTTTTGAGGGTTCAGATTTAAGAAAAGAACAGCGTAACCTCTGGCTGAGTACACACAAAAGTCCAAAAACATTGCTGATGTCAGTGCTGACCACAATTTCTTCCATTGCTCCAACAGTTATACACCTGAGGGATGAAAGCATTTGTCAGAGAAGAAACAATCCCAGGAATCTGTCTTTTGCCGTAAAGAATTTGAGCACATATTTTAGGAGGACTGGCAGTATGTAAGGCATTAAGATAGAGGAGATTGTTCTGATCCTTCCCATTCCCTCCACTCCAACTTGACAAATGTGGACTGATGATTACAGGGTCGTAAGTTCAAGAAAGCTCCAGATGTACTTGAATCCTCCCTAAAAGATGTCAAGTGACTTCTGCAAGGCCACACAGAAAGTCCACAAAAGCCGAAGTTCTTGGTCTCACTCTCAAGCTCAATCATAATGACTATAAGACACCATGGCTGTAAAAAGCACATTTTTCTGTTTAGGAAGTTTTTGTACTCCTCAAAAACATTACATTTTATTCAGTGTCTGCACAACACAGAAGTCAGTGAAACACAAGCTTCAATATTCATTCACCTGAGCAAAAGTGGATGTTATCAGCAACTGCTTTGTCTTTTGTGGTTCAAGATCAAAAACATGTGGTAGTGTAGAACATTCAATACCTGAGAGAAGTTATGTCACTTGTCCACACCACTCATGTATGTCTCTTGAATTTTAATTGTGTGATATGTCTTTCCAAGAAAGTTCTAGTGCAAGTAAAGATTAAGTAAAAAATGCATCAAGGCCAATGAAGTCTTCTTTCTGAGTTTACTGGGTATTGGATCAGGGTCTGAAGCCCTGTGGCAATACTTTGTACCTCATGATACACTGTTTACTCTGTATTACAAATTTGTTACTATAATTGCTTGGCTACCTGAGCTGATGGGTAAATATATAAACAAGGATGTGAAATAGCAAATTATGCAAATGCAACAAGAAAGAAT